TTTTTTGTCAAAGATTCCACTGTCATGTAAGCAGATGAGTATGAGAACCTTCTCCATCTGAGCCCAGCAAGCAGAGTCCTTGCAACAGAAAGTGAGATGAGGCTATTATTATACCAAGCACGTACTTAGCTCCAAAATTGATATTGTAAGTCAAACAGAGAGTTTCATCAGATTCATTACCAGTCCTGTTTTGCTGATTGCTCTTTAACAATCTCTACCCATAGTCCTATTATCTCAATGAAACAGTACACTCTTGTTTGCAAAGCAAGTTCTCTAAATAGCAATTGCTGCAAGAAGTACTGCAGTGAAAGCTGGATCTATAAAGCCATTAATTGAACTAGCTTTGGGGCACAACAATTGATGTCTTGGCCTGAACTTACCGAGGTCTTTCCCTGGTCTGGCCTAGAAGTAGGATGTAAATATCCTATAAGAAAAGGTATTAACTGAGTGGAAATGCTACATCCTCTGTACTCTGAAATTAATATCATTATCAGTTCCATTCAGCCACTACAGCATGTGAGGACTTTTAATATTTGGAAAAACTGAATATTCAGGGACCAGATACTGCAAATCAAACATGCTATTAACTCCTCAGACAGAAGCTACTTGATTTGAATTGAATGTGTGTTAAAGCTAGTGTTTGAATCAACTTTGAGAATTTTTTGTTGTAACCATGCTAACACATGTGTTGGCCTGTCTTTCCAGTATTTGATTTCTCCCCAGAAGGAGAAAATATATATCTTCCTGTGCAGCTATTAGCTGATACATGACCAGAAGTTTAATTTGTCTTGTCTAGAGGAGTCTGAGGACTGCATTTGAGTCTAATGCTGGGAAGGTGCCAAAATGATGATATGATATGACATGATATGACATATGATATGAAAAGTGGTCGCCTACATATAGTGAGCCCATGTGTGTATTGGTTTCTGTGTTGGTAGGAAAATACAATTTACAGTTATTGATTGAATGTAGGTGACACTAGAAATAGTCATCGTAAACTGAATCAATGCCCCCCATGCCTCATGCTCACTTCTAAGGGCCACATGCTTGCAGCAGCAGACCTACATTGTCATATTATTGGGAAATAAATCCCAAATAAATAATCTGATGCTCTTTCAATTCCCTATGTCATAGACAGCATGTGGCTTAGCTACCTGAGAGCAAGTCACTATGACTGCAAGGGCCCTAAAGCTTCATCTGCTTGTTTTCCACTCCTATTAGTCTACAGTCTATGTTTAGAGTCTGAGAGAATGATAACACATCCAAGATGGTCCTTCCATCCAGATGTTCCATAACACAATATGTCTTGGATTCTGTAGTGGTGGCTATTTATTTCAGGTGGTTTGGAGCATCCCTGTGTAATTCACTGAATAGCTGTCAAATGTCTTTTAGACTAGGATTTCTCAATCAAGGAGGCTTTTGATGAGGTTTTATGAGTCTTGAATCCATTCAGAGCTTGAATTTTTGTAGAAGGCCTTGTCTCTGTTTCTACAAGCACTTACCTGCTTGGGAGCATTTTGAAATTATTAAAAGGCTTGTACTGTGGATGAAGACATCCTGTTGCTTCAATTAGAATATGCCTAGCAGTTCTGAAATGTAAACTGGTCACACCTTTGTGAACACTAATGCTAAATTGCATCTTTGGTGCATAAGAATTTGGCAGCTGCCAGCAGTTTCCACAGTAATCAACTCCTTGCAGCAATAACAAAATCTGCTTACTGTCTTACAGAGATGCCATTTCATCCTTCTCTTCTGTACAGCTGAGTCCCTGCCTCACTTAGGACTTTGAGTAATTAGAAAATGTGAGTTGCAGCTATGGGTACAACATCATGTTACAGCTCAGGGCCAGCACACTCATGCAGTGACAGTGACCAGCATCAGGATAACCGGAATCCAAATTTGCTGTGCATCTGCTATGTTTAATGAAGCACTTTTTTTTCTCCCACCCTAATCAATATCTTTTTGTATAAGTGCTTCAAAGTCTACATGTCACTGATGTTTGGACCCCTTAATCAAGTCAATAGAAATATTTTTATTCAATTATTTTAATAGGAACAGAATCAAATCTTTGAAACTGAAAGCACTAGTTTGTTTATCACTGAGGAAGTCACAATAAATAATATTTGGCTTCTCCTAAATGGTAATATAAGAAGCAGAGTGATTGTTGAGAGAACATATGTATAACTATTGGGCTCTACCTATACAAGGAACTTAGCACTGAATCTCAGTGCATTAAGGTGGTTGTTTATCCTAAGTCCTTCTCTCTTATATTCAGTGTAACTTCAATTTGCCAAATCTAAAAGGGGGATAATAGAATTTCCCCATCTCACAGTACTGCATTACTCAGTACTTTTACAATCTTAAGACGCTCAAATATCACGGTACTAAGAACATAGTAACTGTTTACAATCACAACGGTAATTTCATTATATGAAATCCACATTTTTTTGTTGTTTGCATGCATCTTACAAAGTTTATGTTAGTCATCACAAATAGTCATTTATGTACATAACCTAAGTCTAAATTTCCCTGGCTTTGCACTTCCCAAGTGGTCAGTGAGAATGGATAATGAGGCTTTTATGCAGATATGTGAGAATGTGAGCTTTGTGTCAATGCTTAAATGAAATATCTGATGAAGAAAATAGGACATACTTGAGGATATACTTCTACAAAGTAATCCTTAGTGATATGACTAGATTTACTTAAAAATATGAACTTATGATAAGTGGGAAGTGCTAAGTTTTGTTATACAGCATATTATTCTTTATGACAAAGACATTTCTTTGTCTATATAGCATTTGTAGAATAATCTTTGCTGAGGAATCTGAATCCATTAGAAAGAGTGTGCTGAGTAAATTGCATAATCTTTTTCCACATAATTTTTTTTGTCTCTACTAAAAATTTCTTCCTCCCAAAGGCAGAATAGCAGTTGCCACCCAAGAGTTTGTTAATTTCCCCAGTCTGCTTCAGAGCAAGAATTAATTGCTACTTCTTCCTCTGCTTTCTTGTATTTCAGATTTGTCAATGTCACTTTTCTTGTACTTACTCTATAATATACTATTTAGTTTTTTGTATTCCATAAAAATATGCAATCTGTCTTCAAACCCAATCGCTGATATAATCTACTTTCACCTGATGGGAGAAGGCATGAGGTCAGACCAAATTATGAGACCCTAAATTTGGTTAATTAAAGATGTTTGTTGGCCGTAAGTCTTTAGAATATCCTGATATTTCATGTCATATTTTTCAAAAGTGTTTGTCTTAAAACCTCTGTGTTTTTATGACCTTGAAGTGGTATCTGTTTTGTGTTACAGGTTAGAAAAACTGTCCATAGTCTTAAATAGAAAAATATATTTCTAAATCAGTCAGTACTGGCTAGAAATTGTCATTATGTAAGCCATAGGGCACTCATCATAGGTATTATTTTAATTTTGCCTCATGGGATATATCACTATATAGTAGGTACTTTTAAAAGCTTCGCAATGGGATAGAATTTAGAAGTTGTGTCTACTTCCACTGAGAAAAGTCAGTACATTATATATTTCGAAGTAGTAAAATATTTGACCCTGAAAAACAGATTCCGTAAATAGCTATCCTGAAAACCTCTTTCCTGAAACAAATCCTTGCTAAGGAAGAATTGCAGTTGTACTTCTCAGTGGAGTGAATGAATATTTCTTACCTTATGGTATTTAAGCAAAGCTTGTTTCTTTGTCTCTTTTTCAAGCCTGCTCAAAAAAAAAAATAGCTCTGTTTTTTCTTTGAAAGATGGTTTGACATGTTATTTAGCATTGTGTATAGATATAATACATAATCTGATTAGACAGATCATATATTTAAAAAGAATTACAGTCTCTACAAGTTATAACTTTTGTTGGTGGTAAGCATAATTCATTAGATGAACAGGTTATTAATGTATCAATAGTGGCCTGCTATGTATCTTTTCTGCTTATGTGGAGAACAACATGAAAACTATTTTGAGTGGGAATACTTTTTGGATTTATTGTTTTTTATTTAGCCCTCTCACTTACTCTTTGTAGTTTGAGGCAGTTGGCTTGAAATATTTTCACATGTGGCCAAGCTGAAAGGCTACACTTTTTTTGTCATGTTTTCTGTCACTTTTTATGGCAGGAAAAGGGGTGAATCCTTTACAAATTAGCTAAATACCTCTAAAATACCTTGCAGCTGAAGCCTGGAAGTCCTCAGATGTACTTACTGAAGTAATTCCTCAGTTGTTTTTCACATTATCAGTAATATGATAATGATGAAAGAAAGTAAAAAGAATGAAATAAGGTATCAACTGGAAAGCACAGTTGGGCAGAACTCAGGAGGGAATGACTAAGAGAGAAAGACAAAGGTACAGAAACTAAGAAGGAGGTGATAGAGAAAAAGGTACATGACAATGTGAGAGAGAGCCTTGACCTACAATTAGAGGAGAAAAAACCTAAATCAGTGGATTAAAAATTAATTAAAAAGGAGGTAATTACTGAAAAGGGAAGCAAATAAAAATCTCTCTTTGCCTCTTCAGTAGGCTTAGAAGTATTACATTCTTTGTAAAATATATTATTGATAAATAAACCTTGAGATGTTAATATAAGATTTGTTTTATGTAAGTACTCATATGTAGAAGTTTATTGTTCATGACATTTTTAGAAGGTGAGTACAAAAGCTGTTTCAGCACAGCCAATACAAATGTACTTCTTTTTAAGGTAATGGCTGTAATACTGTATTCCTGCCCACTGCTCCCTCCCTCCGCCAAAAAAAAAAGGAAAAATAATCACCAAGTTTAATAACTTCTTGAAACATGCAATTTCTCAAAAAAAATTACTCATGGAAGAAATAAGGAATTCTTAAAATTTTGAACGCATTACTATTTGTATCTTTATTGATAGACTGGAGGCAGACAGCTCTAGAAGTGTTTAATTTGTGAAAAAAAAAAAAAAACACAAAATAAATACAGTAACAGTAAAAAAATATGCATAATTCTTCCATCTTCTCCTTAGACTGGAATGGGACACCTGCGTGTTACAAAAGAAGGTCTTCGTCTGGAAGGGGAATCTGAATTCTTATTCCCTCTTTATGCCAAAGAAATCCATTCTAGAGTGGTAAGCGGATAATCTTTCAGTAATGCTATATGCACACATATTTCTACATATTTTACAAGGTCAGTGTTGCTATGGCAGATGTTGCAATGATGCTATTTTGCAATGATGCTATGGCAGAATTAACATTTATCTCTTAGACATGTAGTAAGCAGTAGCTCAAAAAGGATTTATAAAGGTTGTCATATATAAGTAATGCTAAAAATTTAAGAGTGTGTGGAAAGATTTTCATCATTTTTACTGAGATTATTTTAAAACATAGGCTTCTCTATTAAACTGTTTGTTTTGTTTATTCTTCTACTACAGAATAGTTTCAGTATCTCTAAAATTAGTGAACCCCATTGGAAAAGTTACGATTTCTCTAATAAATTCAGGTTTTGTCACTTCTAGCACAATGCTATCAAATGTATGATATGTTTATATATTTGTGTATGTAAGGTCTACAAGTCTAAATGGAAAGATTTAAGATTTAGTTTTGTTTACACAGACAGAAAAGTTTGTTTTGTTATTATTGTTGAGGTAAAAAAAGGAATAACATAATCAAAGAAAATAGAAACAGATTGACTTTAAAATGTCACCAAGAATGGGAATGTTATGAAAGATTTGTGTGGCAGTAGTAGGTTTAGAAAAACAAAGACAGAATCTGAATTGTTTTTTAATTATCCAGGGGGACTCTGAAACTTATTCCAGTGATTTTTTTTTTAGAGAGTTATCTGCCTCTGGCCAGTAAAATGAATATTTTTCAGATCTATTGACCATAATCTAAACTCTCACAAAATAAAGCCTTGTTTTATGAACATTATCAGCAACCAATGGGACATTTCATTCAATTAAGTACTATTCAGTGACAGTAAAAGCCAAATATGACTCTTTCATATCTTCAAACAAAAAGAAATAGCCACTTTTCTGAACCTACAGAAAAACTGTTTGTATTGCTACAGCAAGAGAAAATGTAAATAGATATTTCAGAATGAGGTTGTTAAAATACTTGATTACTAAAATTTAAGTAATGGCAATATATTTTGCTTGTCTTAAGCCTGTCTTTTTCTCTCTTTCTGCAACAAGTATTTCCAGTATCAGGAACAGCTCTTAATTAAGACAGTGAAATTCCATTACTGAATCTGTATTTCCATTTTATTTCTTATGCTATATTCTTTTCTGCTTGACAGGCAGTGGGAAAACTATTTATGTGCTTAAATGAATTTCCCTTGAGGTTGTTTATCAGTAAGACATGTAACTTTGTAAGACCAGCATAGCTAATACTTAAGAACTCACTCTACTCCCAAACATCGTTATGCAACATTAAGCTACCATTTGTGCTCTCTTATTATTCCTTTCAGCTCTTAATACATTTAGTACAACGTAGGAAGAAAGAGGTGTGGCAGCATCTAATATAAGCTTAGCTGGCTAATGACCCATCATGATCATTAGTAGTATGCATTAATTAGAACCTTCAGGCTACTGCTTGTCTTAGTTCCTCAGAGGTTTTCTGTTTGTTTGTTTCCTTGCTTTTTTAAATATTTAAACTCTCTAGAGGCTTAACTGCCTGTAGCTTGATCTCCTGGGTGCAATCTATATATTTATTCTCGTAAAGTTATTTATTTGTTATGCTTTCTTTTTCTAAGTTTGTCTTAGAGAATTGGGCCCGTCACTGCTATCATAGGAGCTTTCTCCCTTTCCTTAATTGTTTTCTTCTTGCAGTCTCCTAACAGCTTTTCTCACCTAATGAGGTCTTCAAAGTGCTAAGAAAATATGTAGCAGAAAATCTACTTGCTGTGCATCATCTCTGGAGCCTATTATAACTTTATACCTTCATTATGAGTCCAAGACAGAGTTGTAGACAACACCATTGCATCTTTGCTAATACATTTTCAAGGAAAGATGAAAGATGAGGGTTTTTTAAATATGTTACTAGATTTTAATTAGTTGAAACCACATACGTGTCAGCTACAGGTCTAGAATACAGTTTATTCACACTTACATTTGATATTACAAATTGCTAACTTATTTTTTAAATTAACTAGTGTCAATCAAATAAATGTAGTAAAGATGCCCAGATTTGTGGGTCATTTAGACATCTACTTAAAGGTACTATATTTACCCAATCTCCAATCTTTGTTGACCTTCTTTTTCCACTTCATACTAACTTGTTACCATTAATATTCATTGTAACACATGGCTTAACTTTTTCATAAGACATTTTCATTATTTTTATTAGTTTTGTTAGCTTTCACTTTTTCCTGATATAATTTACAAAATGAGATTCTTTTATTTTGCTCACTTAGTGACTTTTGAGAGAGTCTATCTTCCTACTTGTAAGATACTGGGATTTTGTTTTTTTAAAAAAGTGTAAGTTTGACTCCAAACTCTGTATTGCTTCTACCACTATTACTAGGTAAGTGTTTGTTCTAAAATTCATCATGGAAAATGTGTTCAAAATTCTGAGGTTATCTCATACTCTTAAATGTTAAATTACAATGAGAACATGACTTGGGAGTTATTTTCAGGGGTTAGCCCTTCAAGGTGCCACATAGGCTCTCTTGTCCAGGAAAAGTACCAGAAGCCATAGCTGTGAAAGAGACTGATCTTTAACAATATTACAGTAATTACAAACTCATTTATCTAGGAATGAGTGTCTCCTCTGAGGTCACAAGCAGGCAGCTTGTTAATACCCTCTTCACATCATGTATTCCCTGATAATTTGGCAGCTGAGATCTGCTTAGGCACTCTTATCAGTTACTAAGTTCTTGTCCTTCAGACAAAAAGCGTACTTTAGTATGAAAGCACCTGTACTGCAAAAAATTTCCTCTCATCTTTTAAAGTCTACCAGTGTATCTGCAATTTGTTGATCCACATGAGCATGATCATTATTTCTTTGATCAGAAATCATCCCCAGATGATTTCTAATAGTTAAGGTCAAATAAAGACAGTGGCCACTATGATCCCCCTGAAAATCAGCTGCATTTAAAGATAATTCGGGTGATAAACTAAGTAAAAACATAAGAAGAACCCACTCTGTGCCTTCCTCACAAATTTGTAGGATGTTTCTAAATGCCCCCTTCAAATACCCCATAGCAAGGTCTCTTACTAGGAACCGATTTCATTACTGTCTGTATATCTGATTTGGTGGGGCACAATGAGCAGCTAGATCTTTCAAAACAGTTGTTTGTCTGCTGTTCAAGACAAGGAGTACCTTAGGGAGGCTCCAACAGGCCTGAAGTACAGGTAGTTAGAGTGCAAGGTCTGGGAATAAGTAATGGAAATGGTACATCACCTGGGAGGAGTTCAACAAGCTCGAGAAGAAGCCATGACTTAACACAGTGGGATGTTTTGGCATTGGTGAAGTAATTCCATTCTGACTGCAGTCTAAGAATGACATGAAACTTTGAATTGCCTACAGTAGCTACTCTGGATTGCAGTGCTTGGCATGAATGAAGATACCAATTAGACCTACTTGGCATGCCCTGGCTTCCTTCAGTAGCAAAGAATGATGGGTAGGCATGAGGCTCTGATTGTTCAGCAAATGCCCCAGATCAAGTTGTGATTCAGGGATGTGGACAAGGTGATGCTGTTCATTCCACTGATATACTTCTGTTATCCTTCAGAGTGGCAGACTGGGAGACAATTTAAATTAGACTAAGAGTCTTATTTGTACTGTCATCTATTAAAGTCAGCATCGATCTAGTCAACCTGCCACTTTTTCCATCACTCACTATTGGAACTTCCTTACCAGGAGTGTCAGTGCCAGGTGCCAAAATTAAGCAACAGCCTAGAGACTGCATGGACCCTTGAGGAAGCAGAATGCACATGCATGTTTCTCGTCAGGTTAATACAACAGTATGAATTCACAAAGTGGAGTGCTCACATTTAATTAAATGGCTATCTTGTAGATCTAGAAGATCCAGTACTTAAGCATTTTTTCCAAAAGCTAAAATGTTAGCAGCCATGTTCGTTGATTCAGTAACACAGATTTTGTTCACCTGAATTATTCCCTATAATTTTTTTTCTTATTTTAAATCTAATATAGTTAAGTAATCAGAAATATCTGCCCGCATTATTTGATGACATTTGTGGATAGTTTTGTAGGTACAAAGATCTTGTGGTGACCGAGTTGATAGCAACACTAGACTAAATTTTGAAAATTGTTAACAATTGTAATTATTGTTAACTATGTTCTGCCTAACATAATGTTTGCTTTCTCTGTATTTCAGGACTCATCACTACTTCTCCAGTCTACTCACAATGTGACTGTGAATGCTCGCAATTCGAATGGGGAAGTCACAGGCAGATTAAATGTGGGTAAGTCTAAGTGACTATTCCTTGTTCACTGTTTTGGAAACATTGTAATGAATATTTGTAAAGAGCTTTGAGAATATAAAGCATTAAACACATGATTGTTTATTACTGTTATGGCCATATTTGAATAGTCCAGCTGTAGATTGGTAAGTGGCAGCAGTATATTTTCAATTTCTCATTATTTTTTTGTATATTTGAAGCTCTTTTTTATTGCAGAGTTATGCAATAAAAAAGCAAAGTTGCTTCTTTTTCTTGTGTTGATAGCTATTGACAGTTGCAAATCATTTTGTAAGAAAATGCAACAGGAGAACATGGCTAGAGTCTCTCTGCATTTCCTAGTATTCCAGAGACTAAAACATTTAAGCAGATGTCCTTAAAAAAATTCAAATTCAAAACTCAGAAATGTACCATACAATGTATGGTAGCAGTAAAATATATTGGTTTACTAAGTGAAATCAATAGATCTAGACAGATGTAAATGAGAGACCTTGGCAGAAAGAATAAGCAGACCTTACTCCTTAAATCATATTTTTAAGGCAAAAATGGCAACAATGTGTATCAGATAAAATGGAATTTTTCTTAGCTATGTTAATATTTTTCAACCTTTATTTGACTTTGGAGAAAAATGTAACAATTTATTAACTCATTTCTTACCAGGTTCTCAGGCAGTAAAGCATAAATTCCCGCTTATTTAATGTAGGCTAACCTGATATGTTTAAATAGTTTTCTAGACTGGGACCCAGATGAGCAATGATGAGCAACATTTCCATGCTCTTGAGACTATGTAACTTCTTGAAAATTCCTACTTGAAGGATTATCGTTTCAATTCATTGAACGGTTTGCAAGCCTCACTATTTTCAAACAAACTGTTTTCAAACAAAAGAAAAAATAATTTAAAATGTATAAAGGAGCCTGTTATTCCCCTTAAAATATATAATTATACAATTAATCACAATTTGGCCTTTAAATGTTTTCAAATTCCTTTCTTTGTTATTCAGTCTATCATAAAGGTCTGCATGATTTCTCTTAAGAAAATGCCCCTACATATTTATCAAAACCTGATAGTAGCAGCCATATCTCATTTTGTTCATAATCAAGAGTATGAAATGTACATTTTCATATTATTAGTAAAGTTATTAAATCAGTTTGCAGTAATTAACAATTCAGTGACCATATGATCAAAACCAAACACGTCCATAGTCAAAATTCCTGTGACATGATATATCTGCTATTGAGTTCTGTCTGCTGCATACTGTTTGGGGTTGCCCATCATAGGACCACCATGTGTATCAGCACTGTAGTTATGTCCATTGTGCCTAATGACCAGAAGTTATGAGGAGGTCCTTTGGGAAGGGCAGACTACAAAGCAGATCATTGACCAGCCAGATCCCTGCTGAAGTCTGAGATAGTTACAGGTGAGATCATGTCAGACAGTAGGTCAAAGGATGAATTGTTTGACAGTGTCCAGCCTGCATCGCCTAGAGCTGTTGAGAAGGAAACTCTGCTATAAAGACATCCATAAAAGTTTCGTCCTGTATTTAGTTTAGGCAGTTGTCATATGAGTGGCTCCATCTTTAATAGGTGCTTTTGCATGGAAGTTAAAAAAGCGACTCTGATTTCTGCTGAACTCAATTCAGTTGTTGTATTTTAATGTACTCATGATACACTGCAGGAACTTTGTCCCAGTGCAAATAAGGCACCTCCATATTTCAAGCTGGAAACATGAGATACCTTTGGTGTGTGGAAGGTGTATTGCTTATGAGGCAATGCTTCTGCACAAACAGTTAAACTTTGTCGGGGAAAAGAATGTCAGCACTTAATAGTGGTATAAATCAATTGCTTGTTCAGACTTCAGCACTTGTAATGTTACTGAGGTCCATAAATGAGCAGTCTGAGATATTCACCCACAGTATATCTTTCCTGTTAAAAAGAGAACTTCAGTGCTGAAAAGAGTGTGAAGAGTGCATTTTCCTGAAAGAAAAGGTATTTTAGTTGTTGTGCTAGCCCATGTGTATAGATGTTACCTTAGGAAAATGAAACCTGGCAAAACCAACAACAAATCTCAGTCATCGTTTTGGGTTTTTTTTACTCCTTCTCAGTAACTATTTAGTCTTCTTCTGAGAGTGTTAACAAAGAGAAGTACAGAAAGTGAGATGGAATGTGCTACCTTAAATAAATAGAAAGTTAAAAGGACTGTTCTATTGGGCTAGAGACATCTAGATTGAAGAAAACATGTAAAATGAAGGCAGACAAAGAAGGGTCAATACAAATCCGTGGTGTAGAATATGGACTGTGGTATTTGGGGAGGAGAGTTCTGCTGGATGGGAAATGTCTCGTCAGTAGTGACTCATTAATACCACTCATATTTAGTATTTTCCCTTTTTATTGGTAGTTAAATTCTGTTTCTCTGCTTTTCTTCACCTGTTTTTTCTGGCTATATCCCCGTAACGTGCAGTTCAGTGTATTTTGAACCTTATGATGTTTTGTTGCTCTTTAACCTTTTCCTCAGGAAAAGCCAAATACGTAGTGTTGTCCTGATGAAAAGTTGCCTAAGCTGTAGCTGGCTTAGACAATATATGAGGAAAACCAGTACAAAGGAGGGGAGTGTAGATTGGAAGACCTGCATCTCAAATCTTTTAAAAGTCTTCAGTGTGCAAAGGCAAATCAAATTCAACACGGAAGCAGGAAAGTTCTGACAACACTGGGGCTTGCTCTAAAAAAAATACTTAGATAAGAAAGTGAAATAATGATTTGAGCCTGGGAAATCACAACTACATCAGAAGAAATACTAAAGTACATTTGCATATTATTTGAAATATTTGATGTTTAACTAATCTCTCTTGATTGGCAATTCTATTTATTAAATTCATTAATCATTAAGAGCTGGTCTTACATGCTGTCTGCTGTAGTTGGTACCATTGTAAATACTAACATGAAATATTACAAATATTAAATCACAGTAATTTTTGACTAATGTATAAGTGTTGGAAGACCAGTAAAAACTTAATACTTTAAAGAATTCTATTAATACCTAAATATATGGTCAAACAATGTCAACTGGGGTGACAGTCTGTTAAAGTAAATACATAGGTTTATACTTTTAGCCGTTGTCCTTAGTCACTATAAAATGCAGGTGTATAAAATGCTGTTCCCTTATAAGGAGTGTGAAAAATAGATGTGTGGCTTATTTACTTCATATGCACAAGCCTTTACTAAAGAGTTAATGTCTTCTACAATTGCCGGCATCCTGGAATTGTGTCTTAAAACTCTAGTCATCTTATAAATACAAGTAGTTGCAAATGTGAAGGAGCTGTATAGGTAAGTTTGGGATTGTTCTGAGGATGGCAATGTAAGACACCATCACTCATAAGATTATAACAAAAATACCTTTTAACTCATGGAAATTGTGATTCAAATGATCTGTTAAAACAATAATTACTAAGAATGATTTAAATACCCAGTCTTACATAGAAGTAATTCACAAGAGAGTTCTGAAACAAATCTTTACTTGAGGAGTTTCTGTTAAATTACTCATATGAGGATAACAATGCACAATATTATGCTTTCCCTCATGAATAACAGATATACTAAAAGGACATCAAAATGTGAGCAACTTCCAACATGAGCACTCCTGTTTTAAAGTTTCTGCATGCCCCTCAATTCATCTGTATGACATACCTCTTGCAGGAGTTATCTGGACATTAGAGCTCTTAAAAAAACATTGCTGTGGATGTCGAGTTTTGGACTGTGTTCTAAAATAAGCTGCTTTCAGAAGCCTCACTGAATGCAAATACTTTTAACTGCTTACGAAGAAAAGAACACTTTCAAAAAATAGAGATCATAAATTTAAAAAAACCCAAACCAATTCTGTGTTTTACTCTTTTTTTACTTAAGTATCCTTCTGGACGACAAACATACCCATTTTGTTTGGATTACTCTTTAAAATCATTTAAAACTCATATATGACCAAAGAAGCTTGTACTAAATTCAAGTAAATAACAAAAAAAAAAAAAAAAAAAAAAAGGAAATAGAACCTTTAATTAAGGGATTAGGGGGAAATGATTGCTGTAGCAATATTTCTAGGAGAAATGGGACTTCAGAGGATGGTGGCCAACAGACAGCAAGGAAGGAATCTAAGCAAGGCATAGTTGTAGGAAAATACAGGATTGATAGTCATAGGGAATTAAAAAAGCTGTGGAGAGAGTTGCATATAAGCAAGACAAGGATATCTACAGAACAGATTATAATTATTTTCATTAGAATAGCTCCTGTCTTTAAAATTTTGAATAAGATTCAGGTTTCTTTGTCACAGCTTGCTTATCAACCTTCAAAATAATAAGTAATATTATCTGTAATATCTAGAACTTTCTTTGGTAATCCAAGAAAGCTGCTAATTGTCATCTCCAAGATTCCTGTTCTTACCACTTCAAAGCCTTTTTAAGTCCTAGAATGAAGAAGCAATATAGCACCTTTGATTTATACCCTGAGCCATAATAAAGCAACAGGTATAATAAATATATTATATATAAAAGAAACATATGGACTAGATAGTCAATTGTCAAATACTTAAGAGCAACATTGCTATCAAACAGTAAATGATGTTTCACCCAAGTAAACATAGGCTTCTATATACACCCTACCAGCAGATGAATATACTACAGTCAGCTTTTGCAGTGGTATTCCAGTACTGGATAATAAGGATGTGAATGAAGAGCAGCACTGAAAAGTAGGGCCAGTTTTTTAAGAGGTTTATTTTTCAAGGATCGTGTAAGGAGGCTTCAACCTACAGAAGACCCTAAATTCTGCTTGTAATATATCTTTTTCAGGAAAAAATTTAAAAAAACCAACCAAACAAACAAAAATCATCAAAGGAAAGAGATTTCCAACGTTGTACAAGATCTGTGAGAACAGATTCCAATAGAGTAGATTGCTGGTCCTCCTCCTAGTTCAATCACTTACACCAAGGAATAGTAACATCAGTAGCTTTGGGTTAGGGGTTCCAT